AGGTTTTGAAGACATCACGGGGGCCGCAGACAAATATTTCACGGTATTCGGCTCGAAATTTTTTACTTGCTGTTCGTAGTATTAAAAAAAACAAAAGCGTAAAGATACTTCGCAAGTACTATTAATACGTAGTACATTCTTTTAAAATGGTGGTTGTGGATTGTATTAAAAGCATGACGTGATGTACATGTACAACAGTGTTTAGATGTCAGGCAAACTTGATTATAACAGTTTTTGTTTAGGGGGGGGGGAAATAATACTCTTACAGTATTAATAGTAGTATCAAAGCATTAAGAAAATGAGTCAGAATGTTGGCAGATGTATTATTCGAGTATCCCGCCCTCAACGAGGTGTTGATAACGCAAATCCGGATTACCAGTACTGTAATATCGGCGTCAAGTGTCACCTTCATACCCAAAATCTAATGATCAGGATAAGTTTAAGGTGCTGGTTATGGATGAATCATGAATTGTGTTGTTGTACTACAGCAGCACAATTCTTTTACAACTTGTACCGGTAGCTAGCTCTAATCTCTGTGAATGTATGTATCTACGACGTCGTCGTCCCAGGAAACATCTCCTATTAATACACAGTCGCCTAGCCACGATAAAGCCTTTAAAGCGGTAGCCAGCTCTTCTACGCTCGGTCCTTCAGGGTATATTCCATGCTATGTGTAACGGGGTACGTAGCACTAAGTGTACCCTGGTTACATGAAGTGTGACACTTCACACTTCAGGAGTATGACATGTCATACTCCGGGATATTTGGTACAAGGTACCAAGGTCATTCAAAACCAACCATTGGTTTTATGACATTGCATTTCTATAGGTAACTGATAGTTTGTATTAACCTCAAACTTAACCTACCTATAAATATACTCAGTTTACAATCTACCTTATTTAGGTCACTTCGCCCTCTTTAATTAAAGAGGGGACCTGTGAACTGCCGCTCACTGAGAGTTTGTATACTCTCGGAAGATAACTTCCTCTAGCGCAAGGTGCTGTGTGACCCCGTCACACTTGGTAGCACTTGTAGTCAATCCACGCCATCGCGGGTAGACTACCTGAACCTCCGAAGTTCGTTGCCATGGATAGGAACGACTTCTCCCATATGAACGACTCTCAGTTCGAGTCGGTTCGGAAGATGGCAGGCATCTTCGGGATGGAGGCCCTGCAGAGCCTGGTGGTATCAACACCGGCTGAGCAGCTCGAGCGCGTCAATGCATTCGACGCGTACGAGCAGGGCCTCATCGCGCATGTGCGGGAGAACCTGCAGGCTCCGGTGGCGGGAGCAAACCCGCCTCACCCCGAAGCCAATACGGCTGAAGGTAAAGCCGTATGAAGTGAAAGGAAGGCCGAGAAACCTTCACTTCTGGGTCCGAGAAGTAGAGCTCGCGATGGACGCGGCTCTGATCTCGACCGAGCAACTGCGTGTTGCTTTTGCACTCTCCAACCTTAGCGGTCGTGCTAAGAGTTGGGTGTACACTCGGGAAGCGACATCCCCTGGATGTTTCACATCCTGGGCTCAGCTGTGCGAACAGCTCCGAGCCGCGTTCCTCCCGGCGAACTACGAGTACCGCCAGCGTTCGCGCTTCCTCGCGTGTAAACAAGGAAGACGCGAACTGCACGAGTATGTGCAAGAGATACGGGAGCTCACGGCGTCCCTAGTGGGAAACCCACTCAATGAACACATCAAGATGACTGTGTTCATGGACGGCCTTCGAGTGGGCCCCGCACGCACTCAGCTGTTCCGGGTGCAGGCAAGCACCCTTGAAGAGGCGATTCAAGTGGCTCTTCAAGAAGAATACAGCCATCGCCAGGCGCGTACGCCGGCCTCAGCGTGGCCTGGGGGTTCCTTGTCGGCTCCCGGTCGAACAAGCCCCAACGTACCAGTTCCCATGGAACTCGGGTCCGCCGAACAGCGTGACATCCGCTGCTTCGGCTGTGGGAAGATGGGCCACTTCAAGCGCGACTGTCCCGCGGAAAGACTCCGCAGACGGTCCTTCCCCAAGCCCGTCCTCAAGGGTCGCTGGCAGAAGCCAGGATCCCGGGGACAGGGGAACGCAGGGAACCAGTAGAGGCGGGGCGCCCTACTGGGGAAGAACTAAGTCTTCGTGATGGGTGCGCGGGTGGCGCGTACCACGGGGACTTAGCCCCTGAGAGTCTTCGCACTCTCGAATCGGCGAAGAGCAGCGGCGGGTTGCTCGTAGTACACGGATGTGTACGGGGGTACGATCACCCCTTTAGAATCTTGATTGACTCTGGGGCGTCGAAGAATTTCGCACGCCGCCAGACGGTTGCTCGTAACAGCAACAAGTTGTCCGAAGCTTTGCGAGAAAGCAAGGGCAACGGGACGGTGTCAGTGCGACTGGCCGACGGGAAGGTCGTCACTGTTCCCAACGTCCAAGTGGATCTGGCCGTCAAGTTTGAAGACTTTGACAGCCTCGAACAGTTCACTGTTCTCGATATGGATCCATATGATATGATCCTGGGCATGCCCTGGCTTGAGAAGCACGAGCCCTGGATCGACTGGCGAGGCAAGGCAATCGGTGCCAGCCGCCCTGCGCAGTCCGACAGAGCATTGGTGAGTCATGTTCCCACCTCTGTCAGGACCCGGGGCGCCCGCGAGGGCTGCCAGGGTACCAAAGCATCCGGCAGATGCTTGGGAGTCGTCGACGTATATGACGACTCCGAGGATGTTTTGATGGTGGCCGCGCCCAGAAGAGGCGCCGGCCAAGTGGGTAACTTAGGTCCACAGGCGGGTAACTTAGTTCCGCAGACAGCTGCAGCTGTCATGAACACTGAGAACAGCGTGTTCAGAGTGGGTAACAGAGTTCCACTCACGGTCGCCCAGACCATAACTGAAGAGGAAGACGTCGGATACGCTTCCTGTGTGGGTAACACAGTGCCACACGCGGTCGCCCAGACCTTAACTGAAGAGGAAGGCGTTGAACACGCTTCCTGTGTGGGTACAACAGTACCACACGAGGCCACGAGTGCCTCGGATGTCGTAGCGACGACATCCCTAGACGTGGGCAGCAAAGCTCCCCGTCACAGAAGCCGTCGGCAAAGACGCCGCCGCCGACTCAAGTTGGATCCGAACTTCGTTCCGATCGACGTCGCTTCAAGCGACTCGGAGTCCAGGGCCCGGGCTCCTCCGACAAGGCCGGTGGAAGAGTGTTATCACATCTTCGATAGCGAGACGGGTTTACCCGTCAAGGCATCTGGTGTCCACTTGGAACCGTTGCCAGAGGTTGCAGAGATACTGAACCTCGAGGAAATGACGGCTGAGTCTTTCCTGGCCAACCTCAAGGCTGGAGAGATCGCTGAGATGGTACTCATGAGACCTGAGACCACTCAGGAGGAGCTGAACTCCTCCTCTGTCTTGGACGAGAACGTCCTGGAAGACATGAACAAGCAGCGTCAGGCGCGCTTGGGTTCTGAGATTCTCAAGAACCCCAAGGATCCGGTGTATCCTTTGGTGACGGAGTATGCGGACGTGGTGAATAAACACCCACCGACCCAACTCCCACCGGATCGAGGCGTACGGCACGAGATTGATCTCGTGCCCGGCACAAAGTATTGTGTCACGAGGCAATGGCCTCTCCCGCGCGAACAGTGCGAGGTCATTGATGCCTTCTTCGCCGCGAAAGCGAAGGCAGGCATGGTACGGGAGTCGAAATCCCCGCACTCGACGCCGACTTTCTGCGTTCGGAAGCCGAACGGAAAGTGGCGTCTGGTTCACGCTTATAACAAGCTGAACAACGCAACGGTGCCGGCCCAAACACCGATCCCACGAAAGGATGTGTTGTTGAACAACATGACCGGGAGCGTACTGTACAGTG